ACCATTGAATCGCGTTGCGGTAGTCGCTCGGAAACTCATGATGGAAGTTATGATAGCCCTCACCCATGGTAACCAGTGCAGTGAGCACATGATCCCTGGGGCTCCGGCGGTCGTCAAACGGCTGCTCGCCAATCCAATGCGCAAGACTGTTGACACAGAACGTAGCTTGCTGGACGAAACAAGCTCGAATGATGCCTGCATACACAAGCCCGCCCATCCAGTCTCCCCACCCCAGCCCCGCGACCAGACACGGGAACGCCCACGCGGCGACCAGAAGGCACGAGCCGTAGTACCGGTGCTGCCACACGACGACCCAGTCGGCATCCAGATCAGACACATCCGTGCGTCCCTTGACCTTGGGGTCGTTGTTCAGCACCATCCACCCGATGTGCGAGAACAGCAACCCGCGCATCACGCTGTACGGGTCCTTCATCGTGTCCGTCCACCGGTGGTGCGCGCGGTGGTTGGCGCTCCACCAGCGTATGCTCCCTTGGATCGCGCCCGCACCGGCGAACGCAAGGAACAAGCGCAACGGCAGGGTGGCCGAGTAGCATCGGTGCGACCACAGACGGTGGTAGCCGCCTGTTATGCCGAATGCGGTGAAGGCGTAGTAGGTGATGCTCCAGAGGAGGGTTGGGCGGGTGAGCGGGGTGTGGGTAGCGAGGTAGATGCCAAGGATGGGGATCAGGACAACGAGGGTTGTGTTGAGCCAGTTTATCTTCTTGGGCCAGTTGCGAAATGTCACGTCTTGGTATTGGATGTGTGCTGCTTTCTGGGCGGGTGTTGCTGCAGGTGTTGTTGCGGGCGTGAACAAGCTGGGCCTGGGTGCGGGTTCGGCCATGCTGATCGAGTGCCTCTTGGAGGTCAATTGGAACCGAGATGTATCGAGGGGTACAGAACGTAAGTCTAGAGGGGCTGAAGCTTCATATAAATGTTATACGACGTGGGATGTCGGAAACTCCGGAGCCCGTACGTTGCGGTGCATGTTCGAACATTGGCGCCGTTCCCAGCCCGACAGACGTTATCGCGGAAACATGTATGTATGCCATGAACCGGTGTGGTTCTCCGACTTCAATTCGTTGGTCATGCACTGGTGGAGTGAGATCCGTCGATACTAATGATACATTATTCGACGCTTTGGTATAGACTATAGATGTGCTAACTGTGTTGAGACATGGTCGCGAGCGCGCTCGGCCAGACTTCAGGCCACCATAATGCCGTGCCTCCTGCAACGTCCCTAGAAGCGAGCATTTCGCGACAGGACCCTACTTCGTTGCTGGCTTGCGAGCGTGGAAGCTCTGCTGACAGGTGGAGGAAACAGCGGGCATAGTTCTCCTGGAGGACCTCCACAATCGCCCTAACACACCCGGATCGGTTATTGTTGCGAGCTGCAAATGCTCCTCACGTGTTTAGTAAAAAACAACCTGACTGTCTCCAGGCTGTTGTGTGTCTCGCGACTCATCCTCATCATCGTCAAGGTCGACGTGTCCCTCGACCGCCATCATGCCCCACATATCGTCAACCTCACCCTTTGGCTTACTCTTCTTCATAAATGAATTCACCATGTCGAACAGGAACAAACGCGATACATTCCCGACCTCCTTGAGCGAGTCCTCATCTCCCGTGAGGGCGTAAAGATCGCACATGAACCTGCGCAGAGGACAGGGCCCGTGGGTATTCTTATAAGCGAAGTCGACAGCGGTGTACGTGATTTTGGACTCGTTTTGAGCAGCCTCGATAGCGATCTTAATCGTCTCACATCGTACCGCGTGTAGGAACTCAACATCTTCTACGGCGACGCCAACGAAGTGGGCCTTCAGCAGACGCACAATGCGGTCGTCGACGCTGCCGTTGTACTTGGGTACCTCCCCGGAGTACAGGTACTGCACGTACACTTCGAAGCCGTCCGGGTCAAGGTGATCGAACGTGACGGTCTTCAGGTCGCCCAACCTACGCCAGGCTGTTCGACACGTGGGGCACGTGTTGTTCGTCTTGAGCCAATTTTGTATACAGCTGGCATGGAAATTCTGGCCGCAAGTCTTGCAGTACTTGGTGTCGGTCATCTCAAGCTCGTCATAACAGACTGCGCATTCGCCGCTGATGTCTTTGCGCCCCGCTTGGAAACGCTGTTTGAAGAAGGTCGATCGGGCGCAGAGCACGTCTTCGTGTGCGGAAAACTTGCAGTTGTGTGAGCCGACTAGGAGGCGTACGAAGGTACCGCCGAACCTTGTGGAAGATTAGAGCGTTTATAAGCAAAGAAGGTGTTTGTTAACTCACAAGGTTGGTTTGTGTTTGCGCGTCCTCCGCGTTATACCGCCGCGTGCGTTGATAGGTATCTCGCTTTCTAGGATAGTGCGAGCTGGAGCTTGGTGGTTGACGCGCAATCGAATTGGTGGGGAAGAAGACGGAGATGGTTGAGTGGCAGTCACCTCACAAAACGAAGGGAGATAGGAAGTGAAAGCTGGCGCGGAGGAAATTTACTGGCCCAGGCACGCAGACAAACAAACACCACTAGAATCCGAATCTGAGTGGCAACAGTAATTACATTGTGCTACTCTGAATGTGTCTTGAGCTCCAAAGCATCATACTGCTCTGTGGCAGCGACAACAAGGGTATGTCCGTGATCGAATGTTACACCGAACGCCAGTCATGCAAATGAAATGCCCCGATATACTCAGCCGCTCCTGACAACACTGTCCCGACTCTTGAAGACCACACATACACTGCCACGCTCTCCGTTTTCATGTGCAACGGCGCCACTGACGGCGCTGAGAGGTTATACATCCAACTGGTTGATCATATACGTTACGATGTACGCCTCAGCGTTGAGCACCTCGGCTTCGTTCGCAAGGACAACCTTACTGTCGTCGAACGCGAACCAATCATTTCCTTCTCTTGAGTAGCTGACATAGTGCCCCGAGTCGATCTTGCCCTTGTGCACAATGACTGATGAGAGTTCGTATGTGAGGCTGTTGGCCGGCGTGTTCACGTTGTAGTTCGTGTTTGGTGTGCCCGAAGCTTTAGCGGCTTTCGCTTGCTCCTTTTGTAGGGTTGTGTAGGGATAAAGTTCGAGCTTCATGGGAAAGTTGACCTTGGTCTCGATCTTCGAGGATTGAGCTTTTGAGTGCTCGAATCGCTGAGAAACGTGAGCATCTTCAGCAACGTGTCCGTTGGTGATAACATACCTTGAGATGTATCGACAGGACTGGTGGCAGTCGCTTGATGCTCAGCTGCTTGATGGCATTTTGCGGGCTGTCGCAGTTCCTACACGTATACTGCGCCGAGTCCAGCTTCTCTTTTGCGGTAAATCGATCGAGACAATCTCTGAGATCCAACCCAACGTCATCCGCTTTGTCGGCATTCTTACGCTTCTTCTGGTTCCGTATGTCAAGACTTAGATCCATGTACGGATCAAGCGCTGTTGTTGTATTGTGGCATTTCTCACATGTGACCGTGCTTTGGAGCTTACCATAGAACGTCTTGTGAACTACGCAGTCGCAGTCTTCCGAATCTGCCGAGCCGCCGTTCGTCAGGTGTAGAGTGTTTAGGAAGAATTGCATGTACTCGTGAGCATCCTGCTGCTGATAGCCGGCGAGGGCCTGAACGATCGTCAGCTCTGCCAGATTGCAGCTTGTGCTTAATTCACATACCTCTCCTGCCAGCCAGCTGCCCATGAGCATGGCGACCGCACCGTAGCCCTCAGTCTTTTCCGCTGAGTGGAACTCAACTATCATTTCATCCAGTGCGCAGCTCACGCACGACTCCCGCTCACAATCAGCTGTTTTGTGCCCTTCAGCAAGGAAAAAGTTCCGTATGAAGGGGTTGTGTACGACGGTCTGTAATATAACGCTCATGAAGCAGGTCTGTCCCATGTTGTACAGCCCTCGTAGGCCAGTCGCTCGGCACGGGAGGAAGGTGGAGTTGGTGACGATAAGCTTGTCGTCGTCGGCGGTCAGCGTGTCTTCGTGCTTTCGTTTCTTGCCTGCGTCTAGTCAGCTAATTGGCCACGGCGGCATTACTAGAGGTGCTTCCTAACCTTTCAGCAGCCGCCTGTTCTCCAGCTCCGGGTCGTAGATGAAGTCCATGCAATTCCCACAGTACACATATCCTTCGCGTGATTCAACAGCTATGCATTGTCAGCCTAGGCCTGCAGGATGTGGTGCGTGAATACCCACAAAAGCAGTGGCTCTTGGCGTCGAAATGCTGATCTCGTTGCTCGTCCGTCATAATGTTGGGGCATTGTAGGCAGAGGTAGAGCGGACGGAGGGACACGACAGGCTCACTTCCTCCGTCAACGTACGTCTGCGCGATGACGCTCGGTTTATCGTGTATGAGCTGGAGGATCGATCGGTATGATTTGAGGGTCTGATTGCGGGCATTCTCGAACATCTCGCCCATGTGTTCTGTACACCAAGGTCAGCTAGTGTCCCTCGAAAACCCTCGATCACATACCACAGCCATATACAATATGCGCCTTCTGACTGCTGGGCACGATATTGCCTTTCGCATTCTTGATCACCTTGGCCGCGGCCAGCGCCGCCTTTGAGCCTGCTGTTCCGTCCATGGTGCAAGTTGAGGGTATGAATAGCCGACTGTGTACAACTTCACATGGCGGTGTTCGTGCGTGCGACCCTGAAGAAAAGTGCCTCAGGCTCTGTCAGGGTCGAGGTGGTTCGCGCTCCGCGATTACGCTCACGCGGCGATAGCTCTGGGGAGAGCGGACCTGCATGAAGCCAGTAGCCTAGCGGATCTACGCCCCACCCATTCGGCTTCTGAGCGCGCGACGGGACGTGCAGGGTTCGCGACACATTCCACCCACCGTTGTCAGATGGCGAGAAGTCTTTTCAGTCACCTGGTCGTCGATCATTCAAGAATTATCCTGCGACTCACGAGGCTATCACGGAAGTATTATCGAAAGCGCTGTAAAAGTCGATATGGTACACTGCCTTGTACTGCGATATATACGACATAGAAAGACCAAACTTCATCAAAAGACAAATGGCAGCTTGCCAGAGTGGTTAATGGGTATGACTCGAACGCTCTGCAGTAGATATCATATGCCTTCGGGCGCGCAGGTTCGAATCCTGCAGCTGTCGTCTTTTTCAGGCCTTTTTGCACCTTCAGCTGTCTCTGCAACACGTGCATCAACTTCGTAAACGGCTGGAACTCTGAGCTGATACTGGGTGCAGAAGGGCTGGCGCAGCAGCGTGTGTTGCTGTTTGCAAGCCTTAGAAATCTATCAAGATAGTTTCTAGCTGCAACTTTTTGGACGAGTGCTCTTGGCTGTCTTTCGTGCGTTCAACGCGCACTCGTCACCAAGGTGGTGCAGAGGCGGCTGGCGGGAAAGTGGGTATGGCATGTTCACTGAGACAAGAATTGCAACATGAAGAGGGGAAATGCATGTATATATGCCAACGAAAGATATACGAAATGGGTAGCGGCAGTCCGTCGCTCTTACACTAGTGGATGGGGGTATCTTTATGCAAAACAAAACAAAGTCTCTCCGCTCTTCTCCTCCAGCATCCTTCTTATATACTCTTAAATGCCCGCAACCCGAGCGATATCTACACCATATGCCTGCACTCATTAGCACAACAATCTTGGCAACCGGAGTTATCGAGAACTTACCAAAGACTTCCACCTCGGAAGAACCTAGGCGGCCTTAGCATGCACTCCAGTCTCGAGGAAGATGTAGTCCGGGAGGTAATGAGACTACATGACGACGCACTTTGATTCGGCATACACCTCGCCATACTGATCGATGCCGGCCATGTGCTCGTTAAAGCGCTGCTTGGCCTTGACCTCGTCGGGGAACCATTTCTTCAGGAAGGCCGCGAGCTCGTTGTCGAGGTTGTCTGTGTGTTGTTAGTTAAATGTTGAATGTAGCACGCGGACTTCTTGTCCGCTCGCTCCGCTCGTTGACGTACCTGAGTTCGCGTCGAAAACGCTCTTCGCCCGGCAAAACGGGCAATTGTGCTGCTTGTTGTTCTGCATGACGATCAAGCATCGAATACAAAATACGTGGCCGCACGACAGCTTGACCGGTCTCCACTCAATCTCGCAACACATGGGACAGCTATAGTCATCCAGCTGCGGCACATGGCTCAGGATGTTCGTATTAACCTCCGCACACACGGCCTTGGCCAGATGCTCGCTAAACTGCGGATACTCGACCTGTCTGGGGAACGTCCTCTTGACGCCCAGCGCGGTGCGCTTGTCGAACTTCTTGAGGATCTTGATCATGGCTGCGTGATTGATCTCGCCGAAGCGCAGGCCCTGCAGGATCTCGCGGTTGATGTGCATGAACATGTTTAGCGCGGCCATGTTCTCTTTCTTCTTGAATTGTTCGACCAGGCCCGCGCGCGCGATCTTGTTGCTGAAGGCGGCGAGCCGCTGGGTTGCCTTGTCGGCGTCGTGCGATTTGTGGTCGGCCTCGGTGGTGCCGAAGAAGATACCTTCTTCAATGTACATCTGGAAAACTTGGCGCCATGCGGTGATGGTTTTCTTGTTAGAGCGCTTGTTTGCGTCGGTCAGTTTGGCGATCTGGGAGCCCAGGGCTTCGATGGAAGTGTGCATGCGCTTTTCCTCGCGCTCTTGCAGCTTCTCGAGGCCGGCGATGGAGCTCGTCAGTTGGGTGAAGAATTCTGTGTCAGAAGTCAAGGGGACTTCGACGGTGCGGTAGCCTGGGCGTGAGCCATGGACTGCGGCTGTCTCTGACTCCGGTGTTTTCTGCGAATCTGCGTCTTCGAAGACACGCAGATCGGTCATGCCGGTTTCTACGGCAAGCATCTGCAGCTTGCGCTTAGTCTCTTCATCAATGCTAGCGCTGTCGACATCGCCGTTCTTCTCGTTGACGTAGAACAGCAGCTTTGGATGGAACGGCTTCTTTGCCCTGGGTGACGTAGTCTCGGCACCGTCGCCGTTCAGGATGTACTCAAACGGGCGGTCCTTGTCACTATCCTGGTCGGCCGAAGCATTGTAGTCCTCGACGTGCTTCAGCAGCTTGGACAGGGTCTGCGGGTCAAGGCCGACCTGCTGCAGCTCGTCGGTCAGGCGGTTGATGACCTTCTTGAGCTGGCTGTAAGAAATGGCCGAGTCGACCCACTCAGGCGGGAATCCTTCGTTCCGCAAGCACTGCTTGAAAACGTGGCCGAACTTCATGCTGGGTTGAGTGAACCGTGGTAGACAGATAGGGCTGGCGACTCAAGCGCGAGAACACAACCACGTGGGCGCGGGGACGGTCCTGGGTGGCTCGATGGCCACGGTCAAGCTTTGGCCGGATCTCTGCCGCTGCAAGTTGTTTTCTATGGTGCAAGCCAGCACCCTGCGGCGATCAAACGTTGTTGCAGGTGCATTCAACGTCTGGAGAAGAGGGTGAAGATGTCGTCGCCCTGCGCAGTCGATGTTCTTCAGCTCTTTTGTTGGGATCCTGCGGTGGTCATGTGGTTCGACGGGGCGTAAACGAGTCTCGATTGGTGACTGCCGATGGCCGGGGCTCCAGTGAATCTCCAGTCTCCAGATTTGCTCTGCAGTATAGCGCCGCGGGGATGTGCTCTTTATAAAGAAAAAGCAATGCGCGCATGCGTCAACGGAGAAAAACGCGCAGTCCAATCCGGTGCTGTGACTAGACTGCTCCAGGGCATGTGGCTCTTTCACGCGCTGTCGCCTCGTCGCTGTGTTTTTTTCGCCTGCCGTCTACCGGCCCAATCACCGCGCGCGCGCAGAGCGATTCCGAGCGGGCTGGCCCTGGTTCCGAATACATCGGCGACGCGCTTCAAACATCCTGAACCCAGACTTAGACTGCTTTGGGCTGAGCCATAGCAAGTCGACCGAACGCTGAGCGACTCAGCTTCTCTGGAGGATGGGCGCATCGCAGTCGACGGGCGGGGCCGCTGAGCCGCAGGACAGCGGGGCTATCAAGACCAGCTACTACGAGCTCTTGAGTGTAGAGAGGACGGCAACCCAAGATGAGTGCGTCATAGCGAACCCATGCGGTCGACTCTGCTAACACACGCAGGCTCAAGAAGGCGTATCGCAGGAAGGCTCTCGAGCTGCACCCGGACCGCAACTATGGCGACGTCGAGCGCACGACTGCCCTCTTCGCCGACGTCCAGCACGCGTACCAGGTCCTGTCTGACGAGCAGGAGCGCGCCTGGTACGATGCGCACGAGGCGGACATCCTGCGTGGCGGGACCGGCGAGGGCAAGGGCGAGGACCAGTACCAGGGCAACATGAAGGTCACGACGCCCGAGGAGATCACGCGCATGATGGGACGCTTCCGGAGCAACGTGCAATACACCGACGCACCGAGCGGCTTCTTCGGCTTCGTGAGGGAAACGTTCGAGCAGCTGGCCAAGGAGGAAGAGTACGCCGCTGACTACGAGGACATGGACATCCCCAACTACCCCTCGTTTGGCCACAAGGACGACGACTACGAAGGCGTGGTGCGCGACTTCTACGCTGCGTGGGACGGGTTTGCGACGGCGAAGAGCTTCGCCTGGCTGGACGTGTACCGCCTCTCCGACGCACCGGACCGCTACACCAGACGACTGGCAGAGAAGGAGAACAAAAAGTACCGCGACGACGGACGGCGCGAGTTCAACGATGCAGTCAGGACGCTGGTAGCCTTCGTACGCAAGCGAGACCCCCGCTACACGCCCGACACACGATCTGCCGAAGACAAAGCGAAAGCACAGCGAGAGCAGAGGAAGGCACAGGCAGCAAGGGCGCGCGCTGAGCTGAACGCGAAGCTGGAGCGCGAGGCACAGGAGCTGCCGAGCTGGGCCACCGAGCGGCCAGCGAGCGAGCTGGAAGAGTCGGAGGAAGAGGTCGAGGAAGAGCACTTTGAGTGTGTGGCGTGCAACAAGACGTTCAAGAGCGAGCGGCAGTACGAGGCCCACGAAAAGAGCAAGAAGCACCAAAAAGCGCTGAAGGATCTCAAGAGGAAGATGCAGAAGGACAATGCACATTTGGACCTTGACGACTTCGGGGCTAGCAGTGGAGTCTTGACACCCGTCGAGGATTACACTGACACCGTCGAGTCGCAGGCGTATACCCTGATGGATGACGATGCCGAGGACATCGCGATAAAAGCAGACCATCTTGATTTGAACGAAACAACACCAAATGCGGGAGAGGAGGCAGAAGGCAAACCTGCACCCCCAGCTGACGACGCGTTCACCTCGAATTCCTCCCACGACGACGACGACGAGGAAGAAGACGACGAATACGCATCGCGCTCCGATATCGAAGCCCGTCTGGCCGGTCTTGCATCCATCGCCACATCCGTACCCACGCCGCTGGCAGGCACCGAGACGCCAGATACTGAGATCGCCGAGTCGATAGCAGAATCTTCAACACCGAAGATGGGCGCAGCGGCGAAGAAGCGCGCGAAAAAGGCCGCGAAACAAGCAGAAGCAGACCACTCTGCTAGTGCAAACGAGAACAAGTGCGCCGGCTGCGATGCAGATTTCCCGTCCAAGACCAAGCTGCATGATCACCTCAAGAAGTTTCCAAAGCATGCGGCGCTGAAGACAACACCGGCAGGGGGCAAGAAGGGGAAGAGAAAATGAGGGACGGGCATGATATGAGTTACGAATTACGAGCTGCATTGGGCTGGTGCATTAGATGAAGACTCTCAAGAAGGAATCGCCGCATGGGATTGGCGTAAATTCCTTGAAGCTCTGCATTGGTAGGTACGGTTGTTGTTCGGATAGTGAAAGTGTAGAATTACTCCTTCCTGCAACGTACAATATGGTCGGGGCCACATACTAATGACAACGCAAACACGTTTTGGGTATACATACATTCGCTTTCATCTGCGACACTTACAAAAACAGCTAAGAATAGCGAGAATGCTCAATCAGCAAGTTCGCTTAGGTATGGCCCCCATCGGTGTCAGCGAAGCCACTCGCACTATACCGCTTACGGAAAGAGGAACGACCGCCCGTCAGCTCAACGTGTAAGGCTGTCAGCATGCGGCTGAGCAAGGCAATATGCATGTTGGCATACAAGAAAGGGTTGAAGCCCGTTGTTATTGCCATGGGGCAGCCACTCTCTCGATAGAGGCTTCTTGGACAACATCATGGCTGCCAAT